TTTTCGCTAACATAACTTTCTACTACTATATTGGTCTAATGCATATGAAATTCTCTTCAATTTATTTGTTCGTTTTCTGATGAAATCTAATATATCAAAATGTGAATCACATCTTTGCATAAAAGGGAATAGTGAAAAGAAACTTATTTCGACAGAACATGCATTCCAATATTTAAGAAATGGGGAGCTCCGACAAGAAACTTATTTCAACCCATTTCATTTGTTAATTTTCTTTACCTATTACAACCAAACATTGAAAATACACTTGATACTTGAGTGAATTCAAACAACCTCAATAACAGTTTAATGAACAGTTTGTTAGGAATGCATATGCATCAATAGTAGCTTAAGTGGCCCCTGCCACCATTCTAGGTACCGCTTTAATTATTCTATGCACTGATGTGGTACTTTGCTGGCTCTATGAGTGTGATAACCGGATTCTAGTTATCACCCAAGGTAATTAATATGTGATTATCTGATTAAATGATTACGTGATAGCATGATAAATTGATATGTTTAATCATGCGGATATGTGAGATTGTGTAATAATTGGATATATATATATATATATATATATATATGATTATACACGTATGCATGTTGTGAATGCATGGTGTGAGGATGTATGCATGTGCATGTGGTGAGTTGTATGGGAAGAAGGGGCTGTTAGCCGACCTTCCATTCTTGGAAAGTATAAAAGGAGGGCTTCGCCTCCATATTTTCTCTTCTTGCATTTGCTAAAAGTTGTGCGATTTAAAAAAAAGAAAGATTGACCGAATTATTCTTGTAAAGAAGATTCAAGTGTCTGATTTCAAGAAGTTGAATCTCATTTGATTGCATACAGTGAGTAATTTTCTAAAACTCTTTTGCATGAAGATTATTACTGGTTTCATATGAATTTTTGTTTGAATTTGGATAGAAATCAATTTTTTTGCTCTAAGTGTTTATCCGGATATTAAACCGGACAAGGTTTGACCGGATTACTTTAAATCGGACAAAGGATGGACGAAGTATTGTCCGGACTATTTTAAATCTGACAAAGGTTAATCGATGTATTGTCCGGATTGTCTTAAATCGGTTAAGTGTTGATCGGGTTATGATTGGTAAGAAAAGTTATCTTTTTAAACTAAGAAGTAAGAATACGACCAAATAGTGGTTGGATTATTTTAAATCGGCTAAGTAATGAGCAGGGTATTGACTGGACATGTTATCCGGACAAAGATGGTTTATATTCTAAGTGATAAATCGTTCAAGCTTTATGTGGGGTATTGACCGGATTTGTTATCCGGACAAAGTTGAAATTTGTTCAAGTGTTAAATCGGACAAGGCTTAGGCTGTGTTGTCCGGATAGTTGACCGGATTTGAAGTCCGGCTAAGTCAAAGTTGACTGGATTTGATGTAATGTTGTGTTTTTGATGAGAAATGTTATTTTATCATAAAAAAGAAGTTTTGAAAGAAATATTTTTGTATAGATAATAATTTCAATGGCTGCGGTTTATTTGAAATTATTTTGTGAAAATATTCTGATGAGGAAATAAGGGACATATCAAGGAGAGGTGTACCATGGGATAAGGGTGACATATCAAGGAGAGGTGTACCATGGGATAAGGGTGGCATATCAAGGAGAGGTGTACCTTTGGATATAAGGGTGGCATTTGTATGTGTGTTGTATGATATAACTCATTCTATTATATCCTTTAAGACTACCGTGGTCCGGAGTCTTTATTTCTTTGTGACTTAAAGATTTAGGATCAAGGTTCTTATTGGAAATCATAGTTTGGATGTTATTGAGGAGAAAATGTCAGGTTTGGCCTGAAGCTTTAAATAACCTTGTTGGTTAAGAAAAGGTTTAAAAGTGGCATTATGTGGAACCTGATTGGTTTAGAGTTTTGAGATTTGAATAAGCAGAATGTTTTGCTTGATAAATGGAAAAGATCTGGTATTACGTTTCTATTTATTCATATATTTGTTATATATATGAAATGATATTTTTCCCTAAAGGTTTTGGTGATTTTTCACCCTGCAATAACATAAATAGGGTATCTCACTAGACCTTTCGRTCTAACCCTCGTTTTGTGATTTTAACTATGTGTTGCAGGAGGTTCGGACAATAAGGGGGAGGGGAAGGTGTAATATTTTCCTTTATGCGCTTCTGCTTGAAGATCTGTTTTGATTGATTAGTACAAGAAATGTCTTTCGAAATTTTGCACCTTGTAATTGGTCATGTTAGATTCTTGTACTAAGGGACCCGAATGGAATGATATTATGTATTTCCTTTGTATAAAATATGTATTACATACAATGTGTGGGTTAGGGCATTATAATGAGCATCCCATTGGCTTATTTGACTTTATTATTACAGTCAAATTTAAGTAAGTGTACCTCGTTTGAGATCAGTAATGTTTAGAAAGAATAGATAATTCGGAGAGCAAGACACTTTGTAATAACATCAAAGTTATCTAATATATACTTGATAAGTGTTAATTTATTAACCTTATTACATCATTTTCTTAACCATTTTCACTTTTTTTATTTACCCATCAGTGTCTTAATCGAGTCTTTTTATGTCTTCTTTATATATATATATATATATATATATATATATATATAATAGTAGTATTATATCATATCTAATGTTAATTCCCTATTTATGTAGATTTTTGATGATTTTTGGGCCAAGTCCTGCAACAGTCTTGTAGGAGCATGTTTGGCAGAATCCTATAGCACCAGTCAATGAGCTGCACTTTTTGTCTAGGCCGAATTTCCTTGGGCTGCCCCCTTGAAGCTGTTGGATCTAAGGACTTGGGCCTGGTCAAAGCCCGTTTTTGAAGACCTCTTTTGTCTTATTAGTTAACCCCCTTGTGCAAGCTCCCATTTCCCTATAAATAGGTATTTAAGGCTTGGTTTTATTTACATAGATACACTCAATCTTTGAGTTAAAAACAATTATTCTCTATATTATTGCTTTTAGTTTTCTTGCATTCAATTTTCTTTCTTCCAACCAAGAACCGATTTTGTGAAGTGAAGTTGCGATTACATTCTCAAATTTTAATTCAAGTGCTCGTATTTAATCTTCATCTCATTTCTGTTCTTACTTTCGAGTTACAAACGCTTTCCGACTTTCGTTACAAGTTGCAATTAATCGATTTTTGTTGTTTTACATTGTATTTCATCCTTTGTGGCTCACGATTAATTTTCGTAGACTAAATAATCTGTTTTCAAGTATTTGCAAGTAACTCTTCACTTTTAGTAACGAAACTTGGCTTGCAAGTTTCGTAACTTGGAGTGCAAGTTTCTCCAAGTCTTCCTTCCTTTAAGCTTTCATTTGTCTTGTAAGGGTCACATCTTAGTATACAAGTGTTTACTTTATGTCTTGTCTTAGAATAATTTTAATTATTAGTATTTATCTTTTACTAGTTTAATTTCAGTCTTTTACTTTTCAGTCTTCACTTTTCAGTCTACTTTACTGCAATTTACTTTTCTGCATTTTTATTTACAGTAATTTACTTTAAGTCATTTATATTTCTGTAATTTAATTTCCAGTACTTTACATTCCAGTATTTTAATTTCTCGCAAATTTAATTTCTGCAATTTACTTTTTCGTATCAGTTATTTATTTTTCAGTTTTTACATCCTTCGTGAGAAGAAACTGAGCGATGATGGGCTAAACGCCTTAGCTTGGGGTGTAAGGAAAAATTAAGACCAAAGCCGATGTGAAAGTACAAAGGTGTCTTATTAGCATTATAGTCTACTATTTGTTTCAGGTGATTAATATTTCATTGAAGATTACATTAAAATTAATTGACAACTGATTTGGTGTATGAAAATGCATTGACTTTCAGAGTTAAGATAAATAAGAAAACCTGAGGTAATAGGAGAAGGCTATAAATAGATTTAGTATCTGACAAGTACTATACTCCTACGGTGTAGGATGGTAACACTGTATTGTGCTAGGATTCACGACGTCTAACATAAATGATATCGTATCAATAGCACGTTGACCGGTGTGTACTCTTGGGAGGCCATCTGACCCGATAGTTGATACTGTGACAGTTATATAAAATCATTTATTGATTTTAGATAATTGTGACAGGAATGCTATGTCACATTTTTGCTGACTCATTTGTTTAATATCTTGATCAACCTTTGCACCATGTACTTCTTTTTACGACTGATATTTTCGTAGTTGCTAATCAAACCTTCCAATTTTAGATAAATCAAATCCCTCGTTTCGCCATCTGATATTAGTTTTTATAGAGTGGACTTTTGAATAACTTTGCAAAGCTATCTCTATGAGAACGATATCTGGTACTTTACCATTATTACTTGTTACGAGACGACAGTAGTTCAAGGTGTATACATGCGTCGAGTTCTATTTTTGTGTTGAAATCTAAGGTTGAATAAATCGATGAGCAATACTACATCATAAAGCATCTGGTAAACTCTTAAAATTCATGCTTATAGCTAGTTTACCATTATATATATATATATACTTGGGATCATGTGAGACCAGCCTGTTTTCGTGAGACCCGTGAGACCAGCATTTTACACTTGAAACTTCACAGCAAAAATGCTGTGAAGGTGACTTTTTAAA